CTAAATAAAACCAAAAAGGGTGAATGGATTAAAGCAAAAATGAAGTCATAGATATGGGGTCAGGGAGGTAAGGGGGAGGGTATTTGAAAAAAGAAAGCTATATTGTAAGGTTCCATAGTGTAATGGTTAGCACTCTGGACTCTGAAAAAGAAAGCTATAAAAAAAGTGACAAGATATTAACATCAAGGACCAATTACTACAGTGTCTGAGATGTTCAGGGCTCAAAGGCAAGCATTTTGGAACTAGAAATTTTCAAACAATTGTTAGGCACTGATATTCCTCCTCAGTACTCCCTACCCAGATATCCATTCCCTTCCCACAAAACAGCCCACATCAGCTCCTATTTCCTTTTCTTCTCCTATAACTCAATGTTTATGACATCAACATACTACCAGCTCTCTGGAGTTCATGGGAGCTCACCACTCTCCTTGCTCAGATGCTCTGCCCTGACCCTTACTGTGGTCTCTCCCCTCAACTGTCTCACCTTGTTCTGACTGCCTGATGTTTTGTGTTGTTGTTTTTTTTAATCTACTTTATTGACTTTTTTACAGAGAGGAAGGGAGAATGACAGAGAGGCAGAAACATCGGTGAGAGAGGAACATCGATCAGCTGCCTCCTGCACACCCCCCACCAGGGATGTGTCTGCAACCAAGGTACATGCCCTTGGCCGGAACTAAGCCCGGGACCCTTCCGCCCGCAGGCCGACGCTCCATCCACTGAGCCAAACAGGTCAGGGCCTGCCTGATGTTTTTAAATGAGTGAAATCTTTCTTCTACTGCTGTAATCATAACTCATAATAAAATAGAGTCTGTGTGTTTTTTGTGAATGTGAGGGGTAGTTACACTGAGCATTGGGAGCCATTAGTTAATAGCCTTGGAAAAGCATATAGGTTTTTCACTCGTAACTGCGAGTTCTGGCCACCAACGCTTCTCACATGTCAATGTGCATGGGAATTACCTGGGTGTCCTGTTAAAATGTAGTTCCTGTCAGCCAGTCTGGGAAAAAGCCTAAGATTCTGCATCTCCAACCTGCTCCCAAGAGATGGGGATGCTGCTGGCTCATGAACCATACTTGGAGCATCAAGGCACGCCCACACGCGTTCACACCCTTGAGCTGTGCCCTTTTCCCTGGGCTCCACAGTCTGCACTCTCAGTGTCACTCACACTTCTTTGTTCCTCCTGGACAAACTTTTGGGGCAGCATCACCTACATCCTCTCCTTCTATGGGCGAGGTTAGTAACCACATTTGAGAAAAGTTGACACTTAATTCCAACAGACACCACCTTGCCTCTCTTGACAGTACAGAGGTAAGCGGCTTTCAGATAAAAGAATCACCATTGCGGACCTGTTTTGTTAAATAATTGATGTAAACACATAAGTGATCTTTTTTTTTACCATATACTATAATTTTTAATAACCATAAAAGCACCATTATATAAGACATTTAAAATACTTCACAGAACATTAGCAAGAAGCCGTTAGCCAACGAGAAATAAAGCATACATCCTACATGTTCTTATCTACTTTGGGTCTCACACAAAATCTGA